TCAATATTGGACGTGAACGTGCTACTCACTACTACTGTGTCAAAGTGGCATTCCTCAGCTAGCGGCAGCATGAGGGTGAACCATCCTTCTGACGCAGGGCTCTCAGATATTGATATTGTGGCACTGCTGGGTGCGCATTTGATCGACCCAGTCCAGCCCGTCTCTGTATCTCTTTTCACGGAGGAGGAACTCATTGCCACGGCTATTCTCAGTCTCGGTTAGATCTAGAGATCACTCCGAATGAACCTGTATCCGAGTCCGAGGTTGAATATGATCCGAGATTTGCCACCCCATCAGACATATCTGAGTGGCTTGCGGATTTCTCCGTTCCCGCCAGCCCAGCTGTTGCTGCCACAATCGATCAATCACCTGGCACCCCAGTGAGCACAGACCCTTTGTCGGTCAGACTCGTTGACAGGCTTCAGGGTGTTCCGGAGAGCTCCCTCTCTTCAAGTAAGCGGTGATGTTGTGGTGAGGGTTGGGAGTAAGGTGATCATCGGTAGGTCAACCATCTCCTTCGTCTGATTCACCGCCCCTCGAAGTGTCTACCGAAGGTCCTACAGTCGCATCACTTTATTCGACTGGTTTATCATCTGCTGGGTATGGTCACCGCGGATCGACTGGTGATAATTTCAGAAGTTTTGTTTTTCAGAAATGAAGCGCGTCCAGGAGCGGTTATAACTTCGATACCTGGCTCCACGCTGCCACACGAGAATACAGCATCACCAGTTCAAGGTCCCACAGTCGCATCGCCTTCTCCATCCACCGCTGAAAATGATCACGCAGTAGTTGATATTTCGTTGAGTCAAGCTACTATTTCCAGCAACGCATCGGAGCAGGTATATGGTTTTCTAATATCTCACTGTGTCACAGATTCTGCGATTTTCTATCAGGTCGTTGCCGTCGGGGAAATTATCCCAGCAGAGTGGTTCTCCGAGACTCAAATGGGCAAACAGAGCGTGTATATCAACCACTTACAGTACAGGAGGATGAGCAAGGCTTCGGATGAACTTCAACGGTTCCGTTGCTGTGGCTGTACTCGGTCTTTGAGACTGAGGAAAGTGGGGTCACATTTTGAGATGGACCGTTTACCAACGCATGCGGACAATTGTACGGCTACAAGCAGTAGCCGTATTGAAGAGCGAAATCGTAACAGGCGCAAGATTCACTCTGACCATGCGTTAGGTAGGGCCTCTGCGTCCACTGTCGCGGGTATTGTGCAGAGCCATGGTACCCGAACGAGTCATTCTGACCAAAGGAACCTGAATGCTGTAAGGACACGGCTAGCTCGTGCAAGTTGCAAGAAAATTCAGCTGCCTGACTTCCGAGTTGATCCGGTGGAGCATTACAAGCAGTTTGTGGAGCATGCAAGAGAGGAGACCGAGGCATCGGATGTGCCCAACGAGCCCAGATTCCTACTCCACTATGATGCTGAGGATCCTCTTATGATATGGGCGTGTGACAGGAATATGCAGCTCATCAATAAGGCCGATACTATGATCTTCGATGGGACATTTTATATCGCCCCAAAAAACTGGTCACAAGTGTGGATTGGTATGATTGCAGTGGAAGGATGGTATATACCCGTATTTTATGCATTGATGAAGCAGAGGGCCCAGGAAGAATATGAGAGGGTACTCAACATTATCCAACGGTACCTGATCCAACTGCAGCTATTTGACGTAGCTAGACTGTTGGACTATATTACTGATTTTGAAACTCCTATGAGAGCTGCATTGAAGAAGGTATTCAGCCTCCATGAATCCCGGCTTTTGGGCTGCTTATTCCATCTATGCAAATCCTGGATAAGGAAGATCCAGGATCTAGGACTTCAGACAGCTTACTGGACGCCGAAGCCAACCCGTGATGCCATCGGACGGTGGTTACACCTACTCTGTGGTCTTCCATGGATGACAGTAGAAGAATGCAGTGCCTCCTGGAGTGTAGTGAAGGCCGATAAACCAGCAAATGACGCCATCGACAAGCTGATATACTATATTGACACAACATATATGGGTTCTGGGGCCTTATTTCCACCAACTCAATGGTGCCGACCTCCGAGCAACGATAATCATTCTCAGAGAACCAGCAATCCTCTTGAAGGACATCATCGGGATCTTAATTCGAAGCTGGTGAAGAAGAATCCCGGAGTGGTGGACTTTGTGAAGATTCTAAAATACTCGCAGGGCAAATCCCGAACCAAAATGAACAGTGTCGATTTCGGCGAGTCTCCTCCTGCCTCCAGGAGCAATGAACAGCGACGTCTCCTTCACTACCAGTCCTGGAAGAGGCCAATGTCAGATGGCATCGCTATCTCGTTGTTTGACTATCTGGAGCGTGTCAGTGAGCTGTGTGGCGTAAAGGAGAGCATGATTTGATAGCTGTGTTCGGGGTCATAATTGTAGTGTATCCATGGCAGGCGACGTACCCTCGATTGGAGTATCTCATTGCTTATCTGTATGCTTTCCTTCGCTTGGAGTCTCTTTTGTTCCTCCGGAAATATTCAAATTTCGGAATATCTGTCTTTGACTGTTATAAGTAATAACTTAACCTACTGAGCTCGTTGTTATGGTAGGAAGGCACCTGCGTGGTGCCCGCTCATAACCTCAAGCGAATAATTCATATTTTATTACTGGTAGTCGGTTGTGATAACGATCGGAGTTTCTCATTCTAATGTACAAGTCGACGTGTTGTTGGATGGGGTTGCTGTCTTCAAGTTAGTGTCGTTACAAGACACTGTCTTGGAACGGAGGATGTATGAGAGTTAATTTTTCAATAACTCAGTTGTTGTTCATCACTGATCAAAAATCTCATGATAGCGTCAGGATCTTCATTCCTGACGAGCGTGAGGAATCGAAGTAGTTTCTCCCATCACTGGAGACTAGCGACCATGTACGCACTCGCAGTAAGGTAGGCACCTCAGTGGTGCCCAGCTGTTGTAGCTGCTACAAGTAGCTGTCTCGGTGATTGGTAGAGAAAAATTTGGACGTTTCTAAATATGCTTCTCATCTGTAGAATTCATATCTAGTAATTCTATCCGTGTTGCGTTTCCCCTGTCCAATTCATCTACATCTCTGCACAGTCCATAACAATAGCTCCACAGAGGCACTCTGATGAGTCACTCATCATGAGTGACACTGCCCATGAGTGAACGTTTCTCGTGTAGAATGTCAAAGTTGCCCGTAATACTTGGCTAATGCCTACTTAAGGATTTAACTTCTGAGTATTGTTGAGTCGTCAATACGTACGATCGTAGTGAACCATGGGACACAATTGATACGATGCAAAAAAAAGAGGATACACGAAGATGGGGATTCAATTTAACTGTTATCTCATGTGATTCAATCGCGACAAGCAAGAGCAATCATGTTTTTGGTATTCAGCATTGATCATAACTCGCGCTGTCTTCGACGCAATACCATAATCGAACGAGAAATGCTATCCTATAACTATGTTTGCTCGATTGTATATTACTTGTACGAATAATGCAAAAGGGCAAGTTTGCTGATAACGCTAACAGAGACGGAGTTTGAACGAATGAGCAAAACGCTAGTATATATTCTCGCAGGGCGTAAGTTACAAGAGAGCAAATAGCCGAAACATAAAAGTAGCGCAGCGTTGTCACATACCGGCAACTGCCAATTTGTATATTTCATACAGGAACATCACACAAGAGCAAACCTTAAAAGGTGCCAGATTATATAATTACAATGCGAAACATATTAAACAGCAAATGAGCACAACTTGCCAGAATAACGAAAATGTGCGGGCGAAGCACACGTGGGCAAAAGTGCCAGAGTGTAAAACATTCCGGAGTAATATACAATGCGGCAAAAAAAGAGCAAAAAAGGGCGCCTTGCTGGAAAACACTTTCGAATTTGCTACTTTCAACATTTGGTTGCTAAAACCTATACCAGAAATTGCTAGGTTGTAAATGTGGTTGCTGCTTTGTAACTGAGAAAGCAGCACATACAAAAGAGCAAAAAAGTGAGACTGTCAGGAATTATAGCATTTGGCAAACCCGCAACATTAGCAAAAAGTTGCGGTTGCCGGATTGTATTACACCGCTCGCGACCATTCGATTCCGGCTGGTCGCGGTATCGTCGAAGGAAAGACAAACGCTGCTCGTATTGGACCGACCACTTCATTATGGTCGACGAATGAAGTTGTGTTTGGATGGAAGTCTACCTTGGTATGATAGCATATCGACGTGCACTGATGGTCACTGACTATTAACCACGTTGAATTTGGTTTGTTAATTCAACATGAACTAAGAACGTTCGTTTAGATCTTACAGGTCGGCCCAACAGCAGCAACGAGCATGTGCCAAAGGGAGCATGAGGTTTGAAAAAATCCTCAATCATCATAAATTCGTGAACACAAGTTCAAATTTGTCAAACACAAGACCAATTTCGACCAATGAAAGCTCATTTTGATTCGATTAGGAAACTTGTTTCATCACCGTCGTGCCACCGATTGTGACATGCAACTATTGATAGGAATCCACGGACTACAATGTGATGACATCATAATGGTGT